CCTGCTTTCTATCCCTCAGGTGATGCAAGGCCACAGCTAGTGTCATTCACTGGAAGAGACACAGAAAAAAAGATTAAGCCTACCCACAGTTCATCGAATCTCCACCGATGTGTTTCCTTTCAGTCTGCCATGTTTAAACCTCTCCTGCCTCACTTTCGGGGCTTCCCCTACCTCCTACCTCTCCGGTGAAGACACGAAGCCGGACGGAGTCATGTCCGGCCACTCCATTACCAGCTGTCCTCTCATTCTCCTTCCCTTCGTCCCCTGCCCCACGACACACACGTGTTCTCACACAGGCGCCCTGGGCTGGCTTCACTCCCACGATCGACAGGCACTTACGGAGCACCGTCCAGGGGTCGGGCACTGCTCTAGGCACTGGGGCACAGTACGACGCCCCACACGTGGGAGGTGGGAGCAGCAGTCCGACGAGGGGTGTGGGCTGGGGAGACGGTGATGCAGCCAGGCGTGCCCGGACAGCGGGTGGGGTGCAGGAGGAGTATCAGAGGCACCTGGGAAAACGTGACTCTGGAATCGAGACCAGGCGGTCAGGGAGACCTCCGAGGGTTCCAGCCAGAGAACTTCGGGCCGAGGGCCGGGCACAGGCCCTGAGGCAGTGTGCCTGGCGCCTTCGAGGACCCGCGCGGAATGTGGTCAGTGTGCAGGATGGCGGGCATGTCACCAAGGGCCTGGCCCACAGGGGTGCAGCTTCCACTTAATGTGAAATGAGGCTTGTGAGTCAGAAAGGACCCCCGGCTGCAGGGCCGGCGCCTGAGACGGCAGCGGCTGAGTGGCAGGAGAGGCTGTGGGGAGCGGGGAGCAGGATCCACCCCGAAGGCCGAGCCCCACTTCCTCCGCAAGCTGGATAAGGACGAGGAAGAGCCCAAGTTGTCAAGGACCACAGGCATAGGATGAAGCGGCCATCCATCACCTTAAGGCCAAGCCCCACAGCGACACGGGTACGGACGTCGCAAGTACCCAATCTATCTCGTCTCGCCACGTCACTGTCCTTAGCCCATCCCATCTTTCCTCGTCCCTCGGAAATAACCTAATCACAGAAGGCCCCACTGAAGAGCTGTGGCAGGAGCTGGGGCTTCTGTGACCACTCCACGACAGCAGCGATCGGCAAGAGACCCAACCCCAGAAGGCAGCCCAGACCAACCAACGCTGCATAACCGGTCACAGCAATGGCATTCCAGTCGCCGTTCTGGGTGACGGGGCCTACCACCCTCTCCACAGCTCCTTTCTTACAATAAGGGGCTATCGCGCAGGTTCCCTGGGTTCTGGACGCAGGACCAGAACCAAGCACTCAGCGGCGGGCAGCACGAAGTGAGCAATCCACGAGGCCCAATTCTTCTGCCTCCACCATCGGGTGCTTCTGCTATGTCCACTCCGAGTGACTGAGTGAGCAGTGGCACCAGGGGAGCAGGTGCATCTAAAGACATTGCAAAAACATTAATCATCTAACACTAAGATGCACAGAAGACATGGCAAGCCTAACTACCCTAACTCAGTCACTGGAATTCCACAGGACAGCTGTGACCCTCCATGTACTGAGGCTGAGGAGGAGGCATGGCTACACATGCAGTATCTCTGTGATTTCACGAAACTGACCTGCAGAGGCCAGCAGGTGGCGTGGCGTAGTGGTTAGGACACTGGACTGCCACATGGCTGACCACAGTTTGAGTCCAGACCTGGCAGTGCTCAGTCACGCTCGCTCGCTCGCTCGCTCTCTCTCTCTCTCTCTCTCTCTCTGAGTGCACCTGCCCTGTAGCAAATTTAAGAACAATAATAATTATAAACACTTCTTAAAAAACAATAATAATAAACCGAGGGAGTGAACCTGACCTGTAGCAAATTTTTAAATAATTAGAAATAACATTAAATAATTATTTTTTAAAAAGAAAAAAGAAAGAAAAGAAGCTGACTTATCACAGACGACCCATGAACTCTTCTGAACCTTTCAATATCAGGTGCCTGGGATGTCTTTCAGGACAGAAAACAGGCAGTACTTGGGCACCCCATCTTTTGATACAACATCCTAGAATCAAGAATTCTTGAGACATAATCTTAAAATCTTTACTAATACTTAGCAATATAACTCAGAAACTCAAATATATAGCAATACAGACAGAGTTATACACAGTATACATCACTCAACTTAAATCTTTTCTTTTTCCAGCCTGATACTGGATGAATTTCTCCAAAAAATGTCACAATGGCAGGTAACGCCTCCAAGACTTACCCAGCCTGCAATTCTCAAGCCTAGAAACAACTAAGAATTAAGTTTCAAATAAATATATTAATGCTAACGCTTGGCCTCAGATTTTTCATCTTAACTGAAACCAATGCTGAAGACCTCTGGTGAGGTAAATACTAGAAGCATTATATTTACTGAATTTGGGAGACGGAACACAGTGTAAATAGTGAATTAGAATTTCTGAGTTTATCAGGCCGGGCCCATGTGCGTGTGTGCCCAAGACCCCGAGAGGACAATGGAGGAGAAGGGACTACAGCGTGGCGATCTCCGGGGGGGGGGGGGGGGGGGGCGGGCTTTCTGTCTGTCTGTCTCTGTCTTTCTGGAGAACGCAGGCACCCTTATAGTGAAAACCTTTCCAAAAAAAAAAAATTCTGAGTTTAAAGCAGCATCGAGTGATCTGGGTTCTGGGCGCGAGGACGCTCCTGCCTAGATGAGAAACTCCCTCATCCTAGACCATCCTGCCCCACACTTTCTGGAACCATCCTGAATCTGCAAAACAAGATTTGGTAGTCTTCCAAACGTCCTCTCAAAAATGCTGGATGACCAAAACTTAGATTTCCTTCAAATGAAAGAACACACAAGGCTGTTTCCTTGTTTTCTGGCAAAACCCTTTTAAGCCTTCATTCCAAATGGCTGGTTACGATTACTTTTGTTTCCCGTTTTCTTACCAGAGTCTAGAACAGAATGCAGCTTAGCTCTATGAAACGCGAATGTCCTTTATGGAGTTTGTTTTTTTTTCGGTCCATCACTTAAAACACAAGCTTCCACCAGATATTAGTGCACAAAGTAAAGCAGAAATTACTTCCGAATCTTCCTGCCTGTCTACATATAAAGGGCTGGAAGGTGATTGAGGCTTTCTATATAAACTCGGTTATTCATTCATCCCTTTAAAATGGCATCCTTCCTGAATATTATATGTCCAAAATTTATTTCAGGTGCTTGATTTATAGCAGTGAACAAGACAAGACTGCCCTGAATACCCTTAAGTGCATAAATTAAAAATAACAGGCGGCTGAATTCAAACACGTCTACACAGCAGGGTAAGATCATGGACGGCTCACACCAGCAATGTCACCTGGAACTGTAATTTACTAAGCATCTACTATAAATCAGAGGTCGGATTAATCTTTTTATATGGCACGGATTTAATAAAGTCGCTGTCCTAAAAAAGATAAAGTCATCGTTCAGAAAAAAATGAGAGAGCCAAGCAGCGAGAAAAGTCTTCCCTTCAGCAGTTTAAACGCAGCTTTCCACGTTAGAAGGAATGCTCTCTCCTGAGGTGGAGAGGAACGGCTTGTGGTGTCACTCGTCCACACAAGAACAAGAATTTTTTTCAGATTCATTCAACTACGCTCCCTATGAGAAGACTTTTGGGTTCAAAAGAGGAAAATCAAGTTGTTGTAAAGATTTCTCTCCACATCCAAATCTTGTGAAACTGAAAAGCCAGCCAGCCGCGTCAAGGACGACCCTGTAGTGCCAGCCCACAGAGATGACCGTAACATGGCACTAACAGCGCACACCCGATAAAACATTATTAGTGAAGCAATCAATCCTCCAACTTTCTTTTTTCCAAACTCTAGTCCAAACCAAAGCTACTCAGATAACCAGAAATCCGTAAGACTGAAATGTAGGCCCATGCAAAAACCGGGTGACTTAACACCAGGCTGCTTTTCAAAGCATTCTCTGCTGAAATATGTGACTCCGACCCTGCCACTGCCCCTCTTCCCATCTCTGTTTTTATTATTATCATTTTCTTCTTAGTTTCCAGCTGGAACGGGGTGGGGGCAGCCAAGTGGGACCAGTCTAAGTTTCCGGGGAACTGATTAAGGCCAACCCGCTCTCCGAGTCCAGGCAGGGGCTCCGCGAGGCCAGGCTCCTCCGGGCCCGTTCCAAAGGGCGGACGCGCTCCCTGCCCACGGCCCGGCCCGGCCACGCTCGCCCGGGGGAGCCGGCGGCCGCCTG